CCCGTGAGCCATGGCCGCTGGGCCTGCGCGTTCGGAGCCTGTGCTCCGCAACGGGAGAGGCCACAACGGTGAGAGGCCCGCGTACCGCAAAAAAAAAAAAAAAATCTGAAGTTACTATGTGCATGCAACAAGCACATAGTAAGTAAAGTAGTTTCTCAAAGGGATAGTTTTTGTTGCCTCAATTATTCGTGGGGTTTCTCTAAACAAGTAAATTTCAAGATGTCTGACGTAGTACTTCTTGGTGATGGGGGGTGGGGAGTGAAGAATGCTTTATCTCTGGAAACATTTTCTTCTCAACTGTTGGCAGTGTACAACTAAGAAATTCTATAGGCACTACAAAAAAGAGATATTGTATCCTACTGCCCCTTAAGAATCCATTGGTGGATCTCCCAGATGCGTGAAGAAAGCCAACAGAAGATGTCTTAAGATTTCATACTTACTTTATGCTCTGCTTTATTTCATAAATAAGTTTATTTGCCCAACATGTCATTAGTGGCATTTAGTTCAATAACACTGGAATTCATATTTCAGCTCAAAAGTTATTTCCTTAAAGAATTCTTTCACCAGGTCAAATCCTATATATTCTTTCCCAGAACTATTAGCCTCTCACATTTTAAAAAACAATTTGATTAATCTATCAAATTTCTCCAGAATTCTAGAACTCAAGCTGTTTGAGGACAGGAACTATGTCTGATTTTGCTCAGCACTGTATCCCCAGGGCCTGGTACAGAGTCTTATAAATAATAGGCACTGAAAAAGACAGAGACCTGACAGGCAAATGATCACATAAGCCACTTTTCCCTGAGAGCACTTGTTGAGTTCAACAAATTCCAACTTTCATTTTGATGGCCTTGAAAGGTGATAGGAACAGAAATTACTGCACACAAGGTGGGGCATCTAACAAGAGATACTCCTTACAACAAAGTGGAATCCAATGGCTATGCATTGAGAATGAATTAGAAATGAATCATCTCTTACGAGGAATTTAAGTCTGAGATTAACCTGGGTATTCTAGAAAACTTCAAGCCATGACCTTGATTTACCTAACCAGTATGGTGGTGCAATAGAACCTGGCACTTGGCAGAAGCAAAAAACAAATTCTTGTGTTAACTGTACAAATAAATTTTCAAGTGTCATGACCAGCACATAGTCAAAAATAATCAGGTAGGTTGGGACTTCCCTGGTGGCACAGTGGTTAAGAATCCACCTGGCCAATGCAGGGGACCAAGGTTTGAGCCCTGGTCCAGGAAGATCCCACATGCTGCGGAGCAACTAAGCCCTTGCACCACAACTACTGAGCCTGCGCTCTAGAGCCCACGAACCGCAACTACTGAGCCTGCGTGTCTAGAGTCCGTGCTCCACAACAAGAGAAGCCACCACAATGAGAAGCCTGCACACCACAACGAAGAGTAGCCTCCTCTCTCTGCAACTAGAGAAAGCCTGTGTGTGGCAACGAAGACCCAATGCAGCCAAAAATCAATCAATAAATAAATTTATTTAAAAAAAAATCAGGTACACAAGAAACATAACATCATGAGCACAAATCAGCAGGGCAATAGATAACAAAAACAGACCTGCAAACACCTTAGGTGCTAGAATTACCAGAGAGTACAATATGCTGGGAAATTAAGAAACACCCTTCTACATTTCTTCATGATAGGAATTAGACTATATTTTGAGCCAAAAGACAATGAAAATATTATCAATACCTACCAAAACTTGTGGTTCAGTGCTGAAGCCACTTCAGAAAATAGTTTGTCAATTCCTCAAAAAGTTAAACATAAGAATTACCATATGACTCAGCAATTCAACTCCTAGGTATATGACCAAGAGAAATGAAAACACATGTTCACACAAATTCATAACAGACAAAAAATGCAAACAACCCAAATGTCCATGATGAATGATTAAACAAAATGTGGTATATATCCATATAAAGCAGTATTATTCAGCCATAAAAAGGAATGAAGTACTGATTTATGTTACAACATGGATGAACCTAAAAAACATTATGATAAATGAAAGAAGCCAGACACAAAAAGCCAAGTATTATATATTCCATTTATATGGGATATTCAGAATAGGCAAATTCATGGAGACAGAAAGTAGATTAGTAGTTGCCAGGGGCTTGGAGGAGGGGGAAATGAGGAGTGGCTACTAACAGGCATGGATGTCTTTTTTGTGGTAATAAAAATGTTCTAGAATAGGATAGTGGAACCTTGTGAATAAACTAAAACCACTAAATTGCACACTTTAAAAGGGTAAATTTTATGGTATGTGAATTATATCTCAATTTAAAAAAATTGTGGATTGCAGCTATGTAAAGGAAAATGTATAGCCTTAAATGCATGTATTAAGCCATTCTTAATAGTTCCTATCAAGAATACTTTCTAGTTTACTTACTATTTTTACTAGTAAGAATTCTACACTTGTTTGCTTGCCATTCCTAGTAACAAAGATATGCTTGAAAATATCTGCAAGAAACATAGACCTACGAAAAGCAATAAAGCAGATTTTAAAAGAACCAAGTAGAATTCTAGAAATGAAAAATACAATAACTCAATTAAAAATCCGATGGGAAGATTTAACAACAGATTAGACATAGCTGAAGAGAGAATTAGTTAACTGGAAGGTAGGTTGGGAAATAATTACCCTGATTCATGCAACAGGTATGCTGAAGTATTCTGTTGTGAAGTGTCATGATATCTGAAACTTACTTTCAAAGGGCTCAGCAAAACATGTTTTTGTGTGTGTCTACCTACATAATGTGTATACAGACATACATGTGTTTAGCAGCAGAGGGAGATAAAGCAAACATGGCAACATGTTAAAAATTGGTGAATCTGAATAAAGGCTATATGGACGTGCAATGTACAACTGTACACTGAACATTTTTATGAACTATTCTATTCTAAAATTTAAAAATGGTAAATTAGCAAAATGGTAGCACTTACAATAGCATAAAAATATCAAGAACAAAGAATTAGGTCTTTAAAAAAGAAATAGAAGCCCTATGTGGGGGAAATAATGAGCCTATCGAAAAACATTAGGAGAACATTTATATGGACATAGAGATATACCATGTTCATGGATTAGAAGATTAAATTTTTAAAAACTCCCCCAAATTGATTAATAGACTTAATGCAACTTTGTTCAAAATCTAATAGGGCTTTGGAAAGAACTTGACAAGATGATTCTGTAATGCATACGGAAGACAAAAGGGCCAAGAACAGAAAAACCCTCTTGGATTCCAAACACTACACACTGTATTTTTTTTGTTCTTACCTCAGTGGTGGCTCTTTCTCAGCTCCTTCATTGGTTCCCCAACTTCTTCCTGATGTCATGTTAGAATGCCCCAGGGCTCAGGCCTTCAACTCTTTTCCACTTTCACACTGACTCCTTTGGTGATTTCGTCCAGCCTCATAGCTCTCAATAAAAACCAACACTAACTCTCGGCCTCCATTCCAACCTAGACCTGTCTCTCAGACTCACTCTCATATCCAACTGTTTACTTGATGTCTTTAATTGGTTATCTAGTAGACATCTGATATTTAACAAAATGGATGCCTCAATTTTTTTTCTGTCTTCAACTTTCCTCATCTCAGTTGATGGCAACTTCATCCTGAATTTTAGTTGCTTAGTCCAATACCTTGTGTTCATCTTTGACTCCTCTCTTTCTCTCATGTATTTTATACAACCCATCAGCAAATCCCTAAATGAATCACTTCTCACTTTCCTTTACTATGCTCACCCTGGTTTGAGCCACATCAGCTCTCACCTGGCTAACTTCAACAGCCTTCTGATTGGCTTACCTGTCTCATCCCATGTCCCTGCACTAACAGTCCCCTCTAGTTCCTAACCGAGTTTGCATGATGAAAATCAGTTTTGATTTGGGAGTCGCACCCAGGGCATTAGAATACTTTATAAATGTCTCATACTTCTTCAAAATTATCAGATATTGTTTTGCCCTTTGGCTAGTAATTGTTGAAACTGAGTGACAGGTACATGGAGCCCTTTACACTATTCTTTCAAATAAATATGAAATGAAACGAAAGCTTCTCTGGTGACTCTACCACTTTTTTTTTTTTCTTTTTTTTTTGGCTGCACTGCTTGGCATGAGGAATCTTAGTTCCCTGGCCACTCGCCCTGCAGTGGAAGCATGCAGTCTTAACCACTGGACTGCCAGGGAAGTCCTCTGGTAACTCTGATCTGCAGCAGGATTGAGAAACAATGGTCTGTAATCCCAAAACCAGAGCATTTTCCCTATAAATAATTGAGACATTTCTACTTGAAAGGCAGTCTTAAAGAATTTAAAAGATACATGTAAGATGAAAAACACCAAATTTATTTTCCAAAATACAAGAAAAAGAGTACACATTTAAATTCACTTTGCAATATACATTAACAACAACAACAACAAACCACCTGTTCCATGTCCTACTTGTCTCAACTTAACTCTCAACCAACAGTGGCATTTGCAAGAAGGGAAAGATTTCTGGCCCTTGGTTTGCAGAACCTGAAACTTGACATTAGAACATGTGAAATGTACACTCCAGACTCAGTTCTTCTAAATCAAGGCAAAGCTTTGTTAACAATGAATCTCCATACAGATGGAAAATGAAGGGCTTCTTACTACCAACTTATCCAAAAGCTCTAGAACAGTCATTTGCAGTTTGAAGTCTGACCACAACTTTCACTACTGCTCAATGTATTTTGAGGTAAAGTACAGAGCGTGGAAGAATGAAATTCTCTTCAGTTTCAAATGAACTAATATCTAAATCTGAAAATATTATCAAAGGTGATTCTTTGTCTCTGTAAAAAATAAACCACCCAAATGAATTTATTGGTTTGAAATATACTTGTTTAATAAACCTGACAAGGAAAAATCAAACCAACAACCCTATTTTTACCATAGTAATGAGAAACTATAAAAGGTTAATTTCTTAGTCCTTGGGAAGTGACACCACATGAGTTCTATAAAAAAATGGCTATTGAGATTGTTAGACTCGATGTGAGCACCCCTCAGAATACTGGGGAGACTGCAGAGACTTGTTTATTTGTGGACTATTCCCACTCATGCTTACCAGATGGTTATTGATGACATTAAGTTCTTGTATCACCGTGCTCAGATCTTCATGTAATTTAACTATTGCATTTTTCACCTCCCTTAGAAGAACGTTAGTGGAATCGTTTGTTTCAGGCTCCCTAGGCAGGTCTTTGGTTGCCTGAAAACTAGAACAGGACATAGAGGTGAAATGGTCTACATTTTGGGTGGAAAATGCTACCCAATTACTGCTAGAAATAGGACTTGTCTTCTTTTTGGCAGAATCAGAGTTGTCTGGAAGAATTTCCAGTAGGTTGAGGTGGTCATTTTCCTCTTCATCAGAGGACAGTGGGCCCCTAGGAGCAAAAGGGTGATGAACCCTGGCTGTCTTATCTTTAACAGAGGCAGAAGAAGATTGTTGATGGAACAAACTCCAGAAGGAAGGTCCGGCCAAAATTGGGGGTGAGAGATGAACAGACTTCTTTGGAGAGGCTGAATCAGGAGATGACATGGATAAAGTAGAAAAGGAGGATGCCCCCTTAGAGGCAGTTGAAACTAAAATGTATAAATGATAAAGATTAGGCAACATACAAATGACAGTAATAGCTAAAATAATTTTACAATGTAAAATCCTATCTGGTCTCAACTTAAATAAATTACTTAGAATTTTATATGTTAAATAGTCATAATAAGCCCAAATAAACCCAAAGCAAGAAATAGAGAAAATCTGAAGCTGTGTTTATGTGTCAATAATTCCACGGAAATGAAACTAAAATAGGAATATCAATATTCATCTTGACTCTCAAACGTTGCCCAATATATTTTTACACTACACTTATCAGAGAGAGCAGAAAAGTAAAGTATTACACGGTATTCTACTCACTGCCAGCATTTTAAGTTGACATTTAAAGTAGAAAGTGTGAGAAACCTGTAACTTAGATTCCTTCATTTTTTTTTTTTTGACAGAAAATATTATGGCAAAATGAACAACCAACTACAAGTACCCCACAGTTATAAAACTAGTCTTTTTCTCTTAATGGTCAAATATAGTCAAGACTGAGTCCAACCCATCTGAGATCCAGGACACTTCAGCACATGTATATAATTTTTTTTTTCCACCAAGAAACTGTAAGTAAAATAAAAAGCATTCTAAGCCTATTTTCCATAAAATTAAAAATCTGATAACGTTTTAAACTTGCCTTCAGGCAAAATCATATTAAATCTCTTCTTTCACACTTCATTCCAAATCATTATTTCCCAAACTGTTCTGGGGAACACTGTGTTCCTTAAGATGTAAAAAGATGTTTTGTGAGAACAGGGCTTCAAAGTCAAGACTAGCCAATTGCATACTGTGCCTCCCATTAGGAGATTAATAATGTCCGTTAGCATATTTAAGGTTCTGAGAAATCGACAGTACAGCTGCCCCTTGAACAACATGGGGGTTAGGGGCGCTGGTCGTCTGCACATTTGAAAATCCCTGTATAACTTTACAGTTGGCCCTCCATATCCAAGGTTCTGAATCAGCAGATTCAATCAACCTCAGATCCTGTAGTACTGTACTCCACGTTTATTGAAAAAAATCATGTATAAGTAGACCCATGCAGTTCAAACCCATGTTGTTCCAGGGCCACCTGTAATTTATTCAAGTGTTTTCCAAACTTCCTTGGGCACAGAACTTTTTCTTGTCTCCTTGGAATGTCTATTTACATTCACTTATGTCTTAGGTGGTAAAAATTGGCAAATTCCATGTTAAAGTCTTTGTAACTAACTCTGGGCTTGTTACTTAAAAAACAAAACAAAACAAACGTATCCACTGTAAGTCATAGAAGAGGGGAATTAATGCTTACCATTTAGCACTTATCTTTCTATAGTAATTTTATTTTACATATTCATGTCCCTCTAAACTAAATTGGACCTCCTGTAAAACACGTGGCCAGGGCAGGCAGCTTCTGTTTTCTGCTTCAAAGCTCTCTGAGGCCTATCTCCAGTTCTCAGGAAAGAATGCCCATCACAAAACTTTTGGGGGGTGAAATGAGTATTCTCAGCTGATGCAGCAGCAGGACACAAAAAGGAAAGTAGGAACTTCATGCACACACGGTCAAGACAGGACAAGCACACTTAGGACTCTAGGTCAGGCCTATCCAGGCATTCTATCCTTGGATTAAAAAGACGGTATGTGGTAATGGGCATGCCAATGACGAAAGCCTCAGCATATCTGTGTTCTGAGTCACACAGCGACACTCTGAGCTCCACTCACAGCTGTCATCTGACATGTCCCTTCGCCACCCTCTTGTTTTCTATATCCCAGGTCTTTCTCTTTTTCTTGGTCTACCCTCGTGCTGGAGTAGCATGTTCTCCAGTAGTTCACTGAAAAAGGATGCGTGAGAAGTAAAATTTTGAGAACTCACGTGTCTGAAAATGTCCGTGTTCTACTTTTAGGCTTAATGATATTTGGTTAGGTAAAAAATTCTGGGCCAGAAATCCTTTCTTTCAGAATTGTGAAGGCAGAATTCCACTGTCTTCTTGCTTCCAGTGTTGCTGCTCTGGAGTGGGAGTCATTCCATTCATTGTACATAACTGTATGTAACGGTTTTATCTCTGAAGTTTCATGGAATTTCCTCTTTGTCCACCGTGTTTGGAGGCTTCTCTGTGTGCCCCAAGGGTGACTTCATTGAGGTCAACTGAAAGTCAACTGACTTTTAATCAGGAACTCATTTCCTTCAGCTTTAGAAACTTTTCTTTACTGCTTTAATAATTTATTTTCTCCTCTCTGTTTTCTCTGTGTTCTTTTTCTGAACCTCTAACTAGTCCAGGTGTTAGATCTCCTGGACTAGTCCTCTAATCTTGTCTCCCATCTTCCCTACATTTGTCTTTGTGCTCTACTTCCTCAGAGAGTTTTGTCAACTTTAGCTTTCAATCCTACCACTGAGTTGTTAATTTCTGCTATTATATTTCTAATTTCCAGGAGCTATTATTTGGGGGTTCTCAGAAATTCTTTTTGTAGCACCCTGTTTTTGTTTCATGGGTGCCACATATTCTTATCCCTTGTTTCGATGTTCCACGTTAGAAGTTTCTTTCAGATGTCTGGAACACCTTGCTGTCTGCTTATGATTAAGAGTGAAAAATTACAAAGTTGATTGGAAGCTCTGAGTGTAAGTGGGAGACTTGTCAACACTGAGCTTCAGTGTATAGTCATTTCAGTGGGTCATCTGTTGGGGAACCACTAATGTCAGTATCTTTGGTTCTTTCCTCTGAGGGTTATAGGTTCTTGTGAGAACAGTTTCTCTCTCCTGCCTAGAAGGTAAAGATCTGGCTCTCAGTGTGCCGGGAGTCTAGCAGGGAAAGGAGACAGGGTTCTCAGCATTCAGCATTTGGTTTGCATATGGTCACTTAATCCTGTAGTGTTTGTTATAGGACCTGCACACTCAACTCTACCTAGCATCTCTCATTTCAGAGACCCTCCACCTACCTTCTCCAGAAAACAAATCTCCAGACTTCTGCCAGAGGTTGTGAGAGTGGGTGAATATTCAGGGCAATTGTTCATCTGTTTGGCATGGAGGAAAAGTCTAAGGATTTAAATTGCTTTTCAAATAACTATTTTCTAATTCTCTTTATTTAGCACCACACTCCAATAACAACATGTGGAGTAGGCTTTATAACCCCATTTATTTTAATTAATTAATTTATTTATTATTTTTATTTTTTGCAGTACGCGGGCCTCTCACTGCCGTGGCCTCTCCCGCTGCGGAGCACAGGCTCCAGACGCGCAGGCTCAGTGGCCATGGCTCACGGGCCCAGCCGCTCCGTGGCACGTGGCATCCTCCCGGACCGGGACACGAACTCGCGTCCCCTGCATCGGCAGGTGGACTCTCAACTACTGCGCCACCAGGGAAGCCCCATTTATTTTATTTTATTTTTAAATAAATTTATCTTTGGCGTGTTGGGTCTTCATTGCTGCACACTGCATGCGGGCTTTCTCTAGTTGCGGTGAGCGGGGGCCACTCCGTGCTGCAGTGCACGGGCTTCTCATTGCAGTGGCTTCTCTTGTTGCAGAGCATGGGCTCCAGGCGTGCAGGCTTCAGGAGTTGTGGCACGTGGGCTCAGTAGTAGTGGCTCTCGGACTCCAGAGTGCAGGCTCGGCAATTGTGGCACACGGGCTCAGCTGCTCTGTGGCACGTGGGATCTTCCCGGACCAGGGCTTGAACCTGTGTCCCCTGCATTGGCAGGCAGATGCTTAACCACTGCACCACCAGCGAAGTCCCTATAGCCCCATTTAAAACATGAGGCAAAGGTATCTCAAAGAGGCAAAGAAACTTTCCTAAGATCACAGGACTAAAAAGGGGCAGAGATGAGACTCAAATTCTAGTCTCTGATGTTAAACCATATAATCTAACCTACTAAGCTCTAAGTCCACACCATTCTACTATATTATAATTATTTTTACAGTATTAGAGAATTATGTTAAATTCTGGATATAAAATTGAGAAGGCAGGCAACCAGGATGATATGGGAATATGACAACCATTCCTTATATAAAGATACATAAGGAATGGTTGATGGATATGCAAATCTTTATTCAAAAAGGGATAGGAGGACAAAGGGTAAGAGGCTATATTTGGTTATTGGAAAATAGTCACAAAATCTTAGTAATATTTATCTCCCTTTTCTCATATTGTGCACAAGCTGGAACTGGGGTTAACAGGTGAAAGTAATAGGAAAAGAGATTTCAGCCCAATTTAAAAAAGAAAACTTTTTAATAGTCATGGTTTTCCACACATGAAATGAGCTGCTTTGGGAAGTGGTGAGTTTCTTGATACTCATGGAGCTCATGCACAGCCTGAATGACCATTTGGCAGGAATGTTTCAGGCAAGATCAACGCATCATGTGACAGAACTATATATCCTTGGTGAGATTCTAAGATTCTAGGACCCAAAACATGTATGTTAAGAGTACTAAGAAACTATTCTAGAAATAATTCACTCTGGTCAGGAAGAATGATTTCATAAGGAATATTTAAGAAGGCCAGGAAGAAAATAATATTTGAGTCAAATATTAATATAATGTTATATATGTAAAGATAACACAGTTATGATAGTCACACGTGTATGACGTGATGAGTATCTGGTATTCCACTTTATGTGTAGTGTTTCTCAGAGTGTGATTCCTGAACCAGGAGCAGCAGCAACATCACCTGGTTATTTGTTAGAGATGAACTTCTTGGGCCCCACCCCGGACCAACTGAATCAGACACTTGCGAGGATGGGTTGGGCTCAGGAGTTTTAACAAACCTGCGTTTCTGTTGCATGCTCAGGTTTGAGAATCACTGCTTTTTACTGTATGCCCACCTTTCTTCTGCTTCGTAGCTACAACTGCTGAGTAAATAGCTTCTCACTGTTTACAGTTCTGCAGCTTTGATTCATAGGCTACAGGATCCTTTTGCTCATAAAAAGCCACTTCATCTCTAATTGCTGCAGGCCAATTTACTTTTGTTTCCAAACACGCCGCAGCTGTACCAGACACTGCACACTGCACTTCAGGGTGCATCTCCCTGCCT